TCTTGTTGTGCGCATGTCCACTATTAGAGTTGTTTTAGCTATGACTGCTGTTCTTGATTTAGAGTTGGAACAATTAGATGCGGAAACTACATATTTGCATGGTGACTTAAAAGAAGAAATTTATATGACCCAACCTGAAGGTTTTATTGAGGAAGGTAAATACAATTTGGTTTGTAAGCTCAAGAAATCATTGTTCATGTTGAAACAGATGCTGAGGTGTTGGTACAAATGATTTGAATCTTTCATGTTGAGTTTGAATTTTCGTAGATATGAAGCTGACCATTGTGCCTATTTCCACGGATATGGGGATGTAGGCTTTATTATCTTGTTATTATATGTCAATGACATGATTGTTGCAGGACCAAACCAGGAGAATATTGCAACACTTAAAGCTCATTTGGCTAGGGAATTTGAGATGAAAGAATTGGGAGCCGTTAATTGAATTCTTGGGATGAGTGTATTTAGAGACAGGAAGAACGTGAAAATATTATTAACTCAAAAGAGTTATGTGGAGACGGTTATGCGATCCTTCAATATGCAGAATGCCAAACCGGTTAGTACCCTGTTTCTTGTGCATATGAAGTTGTCTTCGAAACAATGTCCTAACACCGGAAAAACACAGATGTTTTGAGTACAATATTCATCTACAGTAGGGAGCCTCATGTTTATTATGGTTAGCACCAGACCTGACATGGCACAAGCAATGGGAGTTGTGAGTAGATATATGGCAAATTCTAGCCATGATCATTAGACCGCTGTGAAATGGATCCTTGGATATTTGAAGGGAATTTGCCATGCTGGTATATGTTATAGTGGAACGGATTTGAAAGTCACTGATTATGTCGATGGTAACTTTGCAGGTGACTTGGATAAAAGAAAGTCCACTACCAGATATATATTTTCTTTGGGAGGTGGTGCAATTAGTTGGTTATCGAGGTTGCAATCTGTGGTGGTGTTGTCTTCTATAGAGGCTGAGTACATGTCACTTGCTTATGCATCTAAAGAAGAAATTTGGCTAAATAGGTTACTTAGTAGGTTTCGAGTTGTGCAAAAATGTATTATGCTTCATTGTGATAACCAAAGTGCATTTTTTCTAACAAGGAATCCAACCTTTCATGACAAGACGAAGCATATTGATGTTTAGTATCACATTATTCGTGATGTAGTAAAAGATGAAAACAAAATTTATTGCAGAAAATTCATACTGATAACAATCTAGCGGATATTTTGAATAAACCCACTGGGAAAGAGAAGTTTACTTGGTGCAAAACTTCTTTGGGGCTTGTGGTTACTTGATGATTAGTAACTGATGGGCAGTAGTTTCTTGAAACAAACTAGTCAGAATGAAAATATGCCTTCATGTGGGAGAATGTTGGCGATACGTGAAGCCAATTTCTGTTATTATAGGAAGTTGTTTCATATTTTATGGATATCTAAGATTGGGGCTCATGTGATGTGTATCCTTCATTATATTATCTATTTGTGTGGTGCCATATCTTGTGGGATGAGAATCCCATAGATATAGGAGATTTAACACAAGGAAAGGATATCATGTGATCTCTTTTGAGAGATAGGCTTTCCAACTGATATAAGATAAGAAGAGAGATGGACACATGAAACTCCCAAAATATAGTAAGAGAAATCCTTGTGGGTAGATTTGGTAGACTTACTTTAATCATAATAGATGTAGGAAATCTATGTGAATTAGGAATAGGCTAAAGGTGCATGACGTGAGTCTTTTGGTCTTTCTATAAAGTTAAGTGTTGTAGAGAGAGAGAGAGAATAAATTGAAGAATTATGCAAGAAAAAATATAGAGAGTTAACGTTAGTTCTTTAGTTCTTAGGTGGATTTTCTAGTGAGAGAAAGACCATGGTTTAGAGCTTGCGAGAGAGAGAGAGAGCTTGTAGTCCTTTGTATTCTCCATGCTGGCATAGTCTTTTTCTGATTAGTGGAAGAGAACTTTGCTGTCTTGTGGACATAGTCAACTTGCAGAACTACCTAAATCTTGGTGTCTTTGTTCTTTTATTTTTTCTGTACTATTTTTATTTCACTTATTTTTGCCAAACCTTAGTTTTATCCTCTACATTAGACTCGAGGCTCGATATTTTTTGTGAGCATAGCTCGTGTGGGACATCTAATAGTCACTAGCTATTGAAGAAATGGAGTTTTGTAATAGCAAGCATCAAGTTAAGCACATGCATATAACTTATGACTGTTAGTGGCATGTGTAACCATTCCTACAATAATTGGGCAACCTCTAGGAGCTCTATAATAGGGGTCTTTTTTTCCCATACAAATAATACTCTTACAACACTCTTCTTCTACTTTTCTCACACCATTCTCTACGAAATTCCAGAGAGCATGACAAAGCATTCGTCTCTCTCTTTCTCTCTCTCTTTTTATACTAATTTTTTCCCTCTTTCTTTCTCTATACAACACAAGACTCTGGTGTCTACTGCGGCCTTCAAGCTTAGGTGCATAAGATCTTTAGAATATCAAAAGACACCTTTATGTTTTCTTGTATCTCGAGTATGGATTGCCCACATTATTTACAGTATCGAAGGGGGGCAAATGTTGTCTCAAGAAAGCACTCTCTTAACTTTTTAAATTTCATCTTCGAGATGGATTTTGGATATAGACTACCATGATTATATATCTTAGAGAGAAAATGAGTTTTAAATTTTGAAATGGAATGTTTTATCTTTTTTAGATTATTTATTTTAATTATTTAAAAAATGTTAGATTTGTACTATTTTTGTAGCTCTTAATTCACAGACTTGAGGAAGAAATAGGGTTTACAGTAACGGTGAAGTTTGTATAAGGTTGCATTTATATAAACGTTTTTCATAAGTTAATCCACTAATAATTTTGTTTGTGTTGAGTGAGTACGTTTTTCATAAGTTAATCCACTAATAATTTTGTTTGTGTTGAGTGAGTGTGGCCATTAAAGGCCTTATGAGTGCTTGTAAAATGAAATGATGCATTAGAATATGAACTAAGTGGGAGTGTGGTCCCTCATGGACCATACTAAGCAAACGATGTTTGCTGATACTGGACTGTATTCGACAGTCTAAGCCAGTCAGTTGGGAAAAACCCCGTTACCTGATCATAGAGTATAAACTGATAAGGGTTCTAATGAGTCATCTATTGATGAGGTCGGAGTATGCCTGGATGAGTGAGCCGAGGGACTGTGTGACCCTTGTATGTGATGGTGGCCTTTAGAGACGGGAGGTAAAGCCTCATCCATGTACCATCACACGACATGCATATTGATAGACCGTTTTAGAAAAGCAAGTTACATTTCAAGGTGAACGTATGCATGTGCTAGAGATACCCATATGCACCATATGAGCTGTGGTCGCATCAGGTATAATTGACATTGGCCCATCTCTACGGGAGAACCTGAAATCTGCAGACTGGGATTACGACCCCTTGGCTTATCGGCTAGACTTTGGTGACCCACTAATGAGGCTCTGCATGGATTGTGGGTCATGAGAAACACTGTGTCGGTTGATAAAGCAAGTGTGGACAGTAGTCTACAGTTGAAGGTGAAGTGCCCCAAATTATTCATTTTTAGACCATATGGATCCTTATCCATTCTAATTAATTTAATTGTGTTTATTTTATGATGATATGACTTTAGAATTATTATTTGAATTTTTCTAGATCTCTGGATATTTTATTTATAAAATTTGGAATTATAAAAACGGAGATATTGATTTTAATGTTTTAAATTTTCAAATTAATTCTAAAAGCATTTATTGATTTTTAAATATTTAAAAATAGCATTGAGGCCCATTGTGCAGGGCCCACCATGAAATTGGATTGTGCCACCCATGTGGTATAGCGAAAGAGGCACACCCCACTCTTACATCACTCAACGAAGGATTTATGATTAAGGGGTTTAGGGTATAGCGAAAAGAGAATCCATCTCTCTCAAACTAGATTGTAAGGGAATTCACCTAGGGTTTGACTTTGTGATTAAAGGGGTTCATATTCTATTGGTGTGGCTTGGTTTAAACTTGATTTTTTGGTTGAGATTGAAGGTTTATTATTGATCTCGCGTCATTGGATGATGGTGATTATGGGGTGTAATAAGCATAGTTAAGGTAATATCCGGCACTTTCTTTTTGTTTCTCCCCATATTTAATTATATTGTCTTTATATTCTCAAGCATAATAATTGTGAATATTTTTTTTATTTAAAAAAATTGGTTTAAAGACATCAAATTTTTTTAAGATTTTGAATTTGTTAATTTAATTTTATTTGAAGCAAGAGTTATTGATATAAAATTACTTGTAAGTGATGTTTCTCAAAAGAAGAAAAAAAAAAAATAGTGAAAAGAAGAAATAAAATATCGCTTTAGTCTTTGTTTCGCTTTGTTCATCATTTGATTTAAGTTTGTGGAATTTAGAAGTGTGTCCCAAATCCCAAAGCATACCCAATAATCGCCGGAATCAGGAGTGTGCACCCGTTAAGGACCTTCTCTATTCGAGTCATTTATACCTGCGATAGCACACTGTACTCGGATATGATGATGTGTTTGTCAACATGGAACATTTCAAGACATATTTAACATATACAAATATTCTTTGTCCCTGTAGACCCAACGGACACCTTACCCGTCCCATCACAATCAAGAGAGAAGACAAAAGACCAGGTTTTCATAAGACCGCACCCGTGTATATAGAAATGCGGGCGTATTAATAAATCTATTTTTGAGATGGATTTTTGGACTCAAATTTTAAAGAGGTGTAATCTTTAACCCGGGATCATAAATAAAAAAAACTATGTGAATTTTACAAAATAAAAATAATAATTTTAATAAAAAAATATTTGTACCGTTAGTTTTCATTTTTTTTAAATGGAACACCTTCCATCTTTAACGTGAATTTTTTACACTTTGCGTATGCAGTAGTATTGCGGTCCAGCCCGTATAAAACAATTTTTCGAAAAAAAAAAAACAGAAGTTTCATTTCTCCAAAACCCATTGGCTAGTTTCACAAGGATAAAAAACAGCCAGATTTTTTATATGGTTTTGAGGTGGGCATTGGATAGATTTGTGGATTAGAGGTTTCACATTCAATGGCGGGGGCCGCCTTAGATTTCCATTTTTTAATGGTTCTCTCTCTCAAATTAAATCGGAAACCGGCCAAAAAAAAGAAAAAAATCCATATCATCTCTCTCTCTAATCTTGTTTGGGAAAAAAAAACCCATAATCTCAAGTGGGTGTTTCTCAAAATCCTCCATTTCGATTTCGAAACACTTGGAAGTTTGGAAATTCATGGCTACTGCTTCTCTTTTAGAGGCAATTTCAATAGCAAGAGACGCCCCAAAACTCGCAGGATTGAAATGGAACCCTTTGGTTAGGCCCCCAGTTCGGAGGGCGTTTTATCCTGCGTCGAAAACCAGGGATCTTTTGAGAGCCGCAATGCTTCGTATAGAATGTTCAGGCCTCAAAAACATGGTGGTGTGGAAAAGAGATGAGGAGAAAGAAAATCCATTTAATGGGGCTTTCAAAGTGATTGGTAAATTGCTCAAGGCGTTGCAGAAACCTGCCATGGTGGCCATTGTTTTGGGTCTTCTTTTGTGCTATGATCCTCAATCTGCCCTTGCAGCTTCAGGGGGTAGAGTGGGTGGGCGTTCGTTCTCTTCTGGTTCTGCTTCTTCAAGGACTTACTCGGTTCCTGGTCGAGCTTTTTCGTACTCTGTTCCTTATTCAGCACCTTCTCCTTTTGGATTTGGTGGTGGTGTTTATGTGGCTCCCGCTTTTGGTGTTGGCTTTGGGGCTGGCACTGGTATTTTCCTGCCATTAATGGCTTTCGCAGCTGTAGTTTTGGTTTCGGGGTTTCTCTCTGATCGAACAGATGATGGAGTTCTTTCGGCCACTCAGAAAACGAGTGTACTCAAGCTTCAGGTTTGAAAATTCCCATTCCATCTGTTAAATTTTGATTGAACATTCTAATGTTAAATTTTGATTGATTCATGTTTGGTTTGTATCTGTTTTTGAAGGTGTAATTCATTTGTGTAGCACACTTTCTTTTTTCTCTTTGCATCTCGGGGTTCAGTTGGGTAATATTTGGAGTATCTGAAATGTAAATTGTGTTTGCATCTAAGTTTGTGTGAGAGAGATTTTTGGTTAAGTCCAGTTTGAGAGGGAACTTCTTGACTGGTGGCACGTTTTATTTCATTTTCTTGACTTTGATAGATGTGGGTGGCTTTCTTTATTCTTCTGTGTCAATGGGTCAGTTAGGCATTCTTTCTTAGCTATAAACTGTTTGTAATAATGTTTATGTGAAGGAGATTCTTGGGTAATTCCTCTTTCAATAACTTCAAGGCTGGTGATTATTGTCCACTGTTTTATAGGTTTGGGCAGTTTAAGATTGGTAATTTTCTTTTCCTTTTTCTGTTTTGAAGGTTGGAAGTATCTAATTTGTAAGCTGTTTTAAAATATTTGTAAGAAGTTTCTGTTTTGAGAGGAGAGTTCCTCTTCCATTCATCTAACTGTTTGGCTGGTGACTGATTTCGTTTTCTTTTCCAATGTTTGACAGATATCGATAGTTTCGATTGGGTAGCTTTCTTGTTCCTTGGTCTGCTTTTTTGTTAAGTTGAGCTTTGTCGAAGCATAGAAATTCTAGGGTAACGCAATGAATTGATGTTTTTTTGATAAACTTGTTTGTATAGTATTATGATGAATAAAAGTTACTTATGAGTCATATGTGCATACAGAGTAGACAAAAGGGGGGTCTAGCCTTTATCGACCTTCTAAATTCCACAAACAAGTGTACTGTATCAAAAAATACCTATGATTGAAAGTTTTGTAGTGTTTGGTTTAACTTTCTATGGGTGATTGAGAGTAAGTGTATTGCTGATTTGTCCCTGTTTGGCCAGGCCATAGGCAATGATACTGGCTTCATGCCACACGTGCTGAAATGAGATGTTGAGCAGTGCACTCAGCACGAAAATTTCCTCAAATATTTGGTTGAGTCTCCGCAAAGAAATAGATTTCCTGTTATCCAGTTGATGGTGTTTATGGTGTCCCCTTCAACCACTAATTAGTTGCCCCATGTCCTGTTGAACAATATGAGATCTCTCTAAGTGGAATATTCCTCTTTCACTAGTACTACTGCTTGGTTGGTGAAAAGTTTCTCTCTCTTATCCAATGTTTGATAGATTTGGGAATGGTCATTTTCTTTTTCCTTTTTGTGTATGGCATTTAGTTGGGCAAGGTTAGGCATATATATCCTTTACGTGAGAGATATTTGTTTGGTAATTTTTGTTTGAGATGATCTTGAACCATTTAGGCATATATATATCCTTTAGTCTGTTTATATTCCTTTACATGAGAGATATTTGTTTGGCAATTTTTGTTTGAGATGATCTTGAACCATTTTTGGACTTTGATGAGCAAGGCTTATGCATACATGATAATGCATTTGTGTGGTATTTCTGTTTTTTCATAGGTTGGTTTATTGGGCATGGCGAGGTCATTGCAGAAAGATCTTGATCGGATTGCTGAAACAGCAGATACATCCAATCCTGGGGGACTTCATTATGTATTGACAGGTTGAGCTCCACTTCTTCCTGTCCCCTCTGTCTGCAGAAGTTCTTGGGTGATTTTTAATCATGAATTATGCGAAATGCTCTTGTACTGAGTTTGTATATGTGTTTATGCTCTTGCCCTCACATGACGATCTTTAAGTGTATATAAAACTTCCACTTATGTTGGCTCATGCCACTTATGTTGGCTCATTAACTTTGGTTGCAGAAACTACCTTGGCTCTTCTTCGTCATCCAGATTGTTGCATCTCTGGCTACTCATCGGTAAGCTAATTTGTTTCACCATTACACTATTATTGGAGCATATTTTTGCTTGTTCCTGCCTCTCAACTAGTAAAAGTCTGAGAGATGAATGAATGAATGAAAGAATATGAAACCTTGCTTGTTCTGCATGTAGTATTGAGTCCAATCTTAGTTCAAGGACCTTTTATAGGGCATCATGCTCGTTGCAACTCCCCTTAATCCTCTGTGAGATAATTTTCTTCCCCTTGACATTATTATTGAGGATCTTACCCCAGAAAGCAATATAAAAATGATAACAATTGAGTGCGCTTGTTACTGGTGACCTAATATGTACTGGATAATGTATTACTCTGATGGAGAGTTATTTACAGAAACATATGCGCTATGTGAAGCGTAGTGGTGAAATCTCAAGATGTTCACTTGAAAGTGACATGCTACTGATTGAGAAAGGGTGTATTCTAAAAGACATATTGTTACTTACATTTGGAAGATAGCCTAGTGGGTTTGGAGCTCTGATGGTTGTTGGATTTAGTGTAAAATTTAAAAACCAAATAAAAAGATCTACGTTGGATGTTCTACAAAAATGCAATGGGCATATTTTTATCTTTATTGAATACTTAAACAATAAGAAAGGACAAATCATGGGGCTTATCTCATTTATTTTATCTTGTCCAACAATACAGAGCATGCCAAATTCATAAATTGAGAAGAGGTGTGACGAGGGAAACACTTTGATCAGAGACCTACATCTCTGGGATGGTCTTGCATTTCATGTCAAACCGCCAAGTTTTCAAGTAGCACATATGTTGGCAATCAATTGAACCTCCTCATTCACACAGATTGGCCTATCTTTCACTTGCACAAAGCATGTCCAAGATGCAAGCCGATACGATACACTTTTGGTATTAGTCATTCTTTTATTGTCCACAAATATTGGAGACAGATATGTATCTGCTGCTTGTTACAGTAATGTGTCGAGCGTTGCATGCATGTTGCTAATTTATACATGATATAGGGCCAAGGGAATGGAGCCTGCACTAGTGGCATGGGTTTGGTGGGCTAGGCTGCTATGCTTGCGTTAGATTTTAAGGTATAGGTTTGATGGAACTAGTGGTAGGGTAGTTGTGGTAGTGTGGAGGATTTCTTGAAGGGTTAGGGTGTATGAAAGTGTGGGTGGAATAGAATTAGGTTAGGTTTGATGAAAGTAATTGTTAAGGATGCATATTACTCCTTTAGGGTAATTCTGTGATTTCTGTTTATATTTTTACTTATAATGTATTAGGGATATAAGTTGAGTTTCTCTTATGACCCTAATCTGAAGTGGGTTACACATATAAGAGAAATATCATGGATGTGGAGTGGTACGCGGTCCTCATTTTCTTCTTCTTTTGTGTTCGCTCTTCAAAGGCTTGGAGTTTGTGCTACTTCATATTTCTTTCATGGTATGACAGTAGGATTCAAAGATCTTCTCAACATAACCATCCCAATCAAGGTAACCCATAATCTCTTTTTTCTTCACCTCTTGTTTCTTACCTTCTCTAATCTCTATCTCTCTTCTTTTGTCAAAACCTTAACCGATCTGCTTTCAAAACCCAAAGCAAATCTGCCTTGTGCATCTTTTTCCCGCTTAATTTCCTTTCATCTGAACTCTAACCTTAAAACCCTAATCCATATCTAAAACCTAATAACTTCTCATCCAAAGTCCTAACCTGAAAAACCTAATTGATCTCCCTAAAATCACTCATCTAAACCTAATTGTTTTGCTGTATTTGTGGAAAACTATTTTAGAAAATAAAAATATATCAAAAAGATTAGCCCATTTCTCCATGAGGTTAGGGAGAAATGGGCTAAACAAAATGGTGATTTTGTGATGTTTTGCTGTATTTGTGGAAAACTATCGTAGCAAAGAACAACATATCAAAAAATCAGCCCATTTTTCCATGGGGTTTGGGAGAAATGGGTAAAACAAAGTGGTGATTTTGTGATGTTGTGGTGTATTTGTGGCCCATGGTGAATGTTAACTTGAGGTAACACAGGAGCTGCTACAATAAACCTCCTTTAGTAAGTGGTACCAAGTGGCATTGGATTGACCCCAAATTTTCAGGTCACTTTTGAGGACCTTTCTATCATCCTTCAAAGTTCCGGGTCCATAGCATACCGATTTTCCGGTGGTCTCTTTGTAAACCAACCCACTTTTCCGTGGTGCACAAGCCACAATCGAAGCTATCAAAATTGATTCTAGAATATCTCGGCCTCCAAACATCATAATGGCCTGATATTTGGGGTATATCTTGGGGGTATATTGAACTAGATTTAGGTTCAATTTCAGGCTGCATCCTCCTCGATAAGGTTTCACCCACAACCTTTATTTGCTGTCTGTGCATATGCGTTTTGGTTGCAATTGATCCCAAGGCTCAAGGCCTTTATTCTTGTGGTCCTCCATCATCTAAAATGAGGATCCTCCAAAATTGGCCCCAGTATCGTTTGTTGGCCTTTCCCCAACCTTAAGATATCTCTGGCAGTTTCCTGGCGTATATGTTATCAGATATCTGTCAAAGTGAACAACCCTGTGCTTTTGTGGTGAGTAGGCCATCCTTGATTAGGAACCATCATTTTTCCTGCCTTTTAAGGGTTTTTCAAACAAAATGAGGCTTGGTTGCCCATCCCTATTTTGTAAGCCGACTTTTGGGTACGAGTTGCCATGTACAGTGTGTCGAATGCTTTGATACAGAGAACCGCACACTAAAATTGTATAGTCAATAAGCACTCATAGGTTGTTTGAATGCAAGCCTTCTCCTTATGTTTTAGCACAAGTGTTGGGCTCATCTCAACAGCCAAGGAGGTCTGAGACACTTTGAATTTGCTCAAGCCCCGGTTTCTAAGTCAAGGTGAATGCATTTGTGATGAAAATAACGAAATAAAGAAGAGGTAATTGTAGCACTAACATGTATTTCACTAAGGTAAGAGCATAATTTTCAGAGGAAGTCATTATTTCCCACGAGGACCTGTCCCTTCTCTGTTGCCATTAATTTTTGTCAAGAGCATAATTTTGAAATAAAATAATTATTTGTAATTAATATTTTGTTTTATATAATGACTTTCCTAAAATAGAATACTTTCGATATCTTGAGTCTATAATCTAGGAAAATGGAGAGATTGAGGAAGATTTCACACATAGAATTAGAGCTGGGTGGGCGAAGTGGAGATGTGCAATAGGAGTTTTATGTGATCACCACATATTAATGAAGTTGAAGGGGACGTTCTATTGGACACATGTGAGACCAACTTTGCTTCATGGCATGGAATGTTTGTGGTCAAGAAACAACATATGCATAGGATGAGTGCGGCAGAGATGAGAATATTGAGATTGATGAGTGGCAAGATAAGATAGGATAGTATTCAGAATGAATATATTAGAGGGAACTTGGGGGTAATAGGCCACAAGATGAGGGAAAGTAGACTTGGGGGGCTGGCCATGTGCAATACAGACCCAATACAACATTAGTTAGGAGATGCAATTTGGTTCAAGTGGAAGGCTCTAAAAGGGCATGGGGAATACCCAAAAGGACATGGATGGAAGTAGTGAAAAAAGATATGGGACTTATGGTCGTACTTAAGGTATGACCTTGATAGAGTAGAATGGTGGAACAAGATTCGTGTAGCCGATCCCGAATAGTTGGGATAAGGCTATGATGATGATGTTTGTAAGAACATTTCTAGAATTATCTTATTTGTTATCCGCATAACATATTGTTTTGAAGATGTGGGAATATGGTGCATGCAGGTGATGCTTCTAGCACACTTGTGGGCTAGAGAATCACATGGTGCCCATGTGAACCCCAACCCTTTTATGTCATTTATGTTTGTTTTGATGAAATAGGAAGAGAGGTGTGCTCTATATATTTGAGAATTATCTTATTTTTGGAATGATTTATTTTCAAAACTTCTTCTCATAATTCAAGAGATTCATTATGTTTTAAAATTTTGGAATGATTTATTTTCAAAATATTTGAAGCTATATCCATGGATATTGAATTGGATTAGACTAAGAGACTTTCTTTTTGCGAATAGTTGTGGGACAAGGAACCCATGATAAGGGTGTACACATCCTTAGAATGATGGTAGCTGATCCTAGGAATGGAGGGTTGAGATTGAAGGCTTCTCTCACCTTACAGATCTCCTTTGTTTAAGGCAAGGTCTGCTCCTCAATAAACCCTAACCTTAAATATTATGTCTCCCTATATATATATATAAAGATTACGTTATAAAAGGCCCATTCTGTTCCCTCTCCCATTTGCCAAATGTGAGCCTTGCAAGCTTTGAAAACCATGCCTCTTCCTAAAAGTTTCAAAAGATTTTTGTGGCCTAGAAGGTGAGGATAAAGGACCAAATGTAAATGAGATCTCTAGGCTTACCACTAGGTACTGGAGTGTTCTATTGGCTAGTCGCGAATGATGGTCCACTCTGTCTCATGACCCAACAGATCTATGCTTTACAGTTTATGACAGAGCCACATAATTGGCCACGTCAAAGTCACCCTATTTAAGCTTTCTATCATCAGGTTTGAAACCATGAGATATGTTAGAGTTGTCGGGCCTGACCTTCTTCCTGTCTTGTGAGACTTTTGGCTTCCCAAAAGAGGATTTACATTGGACTTTGGCTAGAGGTTGGTACAACATCGATCAAAGGAGATTTGGTGTGGGGTGTCCTAAGTCCTTGAAGGTGATTCACGGGTAGTTCTATGGTTAGTTGTTTGCTATTTCTGTGTCAGTTCTTGCATTTTTTTGTGTGAGCGTGGCAGCAAACTTGGTATGTGAAATTCTCTTGTTTTGTAGTTGAAAGGCATTGAAATTTATTTTTTGAGATTAGTGCATAACAGCCTTTGTATGGCATACAGCCGATAATTGATGATATTGCTGGAAAATTTAAGATTTGATACTCGCCAAGGTTTATTGTTACCGCTCGCAATTGCTACTACGACTTTTTTGCTTTTTGCCTTGTGTAAACCTTTTGCGGTTGTCATATTAAAATTCTTTCGCTTGGAAAATTGAAAGTAAAAAGAATAGGAGATCCAATAAGTTGTAGCATTAATATATGAGGTTGTTAGGTCATCCTTCTTTGGTACTTCTCTCTCTTTTTTTTCTTTTCCAGGCCGTGCAATAAAATCCTTTGTTTGAATGAAGTAAATTGTTTTTTTATGCAGGTTGATGTAAAAAGAAGCGTAGACGATGGGGAGAAACGTTTCAATCAACTTTCCATTGAAGAACGGGGAAAATTTGATGAAGAGACTTTGGTCAATGTGAACAACATCAAGAGGCAAAGTGTAACAAGCCAGAGATCCAAGGGTTTTGGTAACGAGTATATTGTGGTATGATTCTTGTTTCATAGTTTATATTATAGCCAGCTATGAGTTCCATGTTAGTGCTTTTCTTTTTCTAATTTGCTATGGGGTGAATTTGGGGAGTTGGAAAGCTTGTTCTTGCACTGTGAGGATGGAGCATTTTACTGATATATCAGTATGCCGTTCTTGTCTACTCTTCCAATGGATATTGGAAACTGAGAGAAGCTCAAGGGCAAATAAACTTCTAAGGGGAAGGAATGATATTTATTCTAATATCATGTAGACCCTTATTAGTGTCTTCCATTTCGTTGGATATTGTGAATTTGAGAGAAGCTTAACGGAGAAATATTCTTCAAATAGCATGAATTGTGGATGTGCATGTATGTTTTTTTTTTTATTTTGAGAAATATTTGACTATATGTGCATGTACATTTTTGCTGGAGTTTTTCTGTTTCTGGCATTCATGTGTATAATGCGGCCTGGAAGAAAGATGAGAGGTATTAATGATTCTCTTTCTGATATACTTTGTTTTGCTGGCACATTTGTAACAAGATAGAGTCATTAGACTTGCACGAATCATTATGGTAATGGACTCAGGGTCAATTACTTGGAAAAATTTGAGTCATTCAGAGGGATTTCAATAGACAAAATAGTTCTAGTGATTCTGACAATGGGACAATTTTTTTTTTTGATAATAAAACCTTTAGATAAAGGAAAAAGTTTAAATAAGGTTGCAACCTTAAAATGTAAAACTAAAGATGCACCTCAAAAATCCATCATAAAAGGTTGTTCAGAGGTGGAAAAGCCATCTAATCGATCATCTCGACATCAAGATGTATGAATATGAAAAGAAAAAAGGATTTCGAGTCCATGAAATAGTGTATCTTGCAACACATTATCTGGACTGTCCATTTTCAAGATTTTCATGTGTTTATAGATAAACGTGATTTGAATCATTTTTAGAGCTTAAAATTTTATAATTAGAGATGAAAATATATTCTCAAAGCATCCTAAGAATTTTTTCAACCAAAATTACATTTATAGTATAATTTAGAGGTGCACCTTAAATGGATTGTTTAAGGTTGCAATCTTATGCAAACCACACCCTTAGATAAATTTATAATGACTAAAATACATCTCCCCTTTAAGTTGGAGAGTAGATTTCATAAGTATCAAGAAGAATTACATAAATAGTTACCCTTGAAACTAGCCAAAAAAAGTTCACTCTGGGATAAGTAAAATTGCATCAAAGATGCAAGACAGTGACATATATCAAATCAGATCTCTCAGGATCAGAAAATTATCCTCAATTGACGTTGCACTTGCCAAGGAGTTCACCTCCCCATTAGCTTCCCCAATGACATTGCAAAAGCCTTCTCTGATGTTAACCGTTCACCATGTGTAAGCCACTGCATGCTGCACCCATCTTATAGCATTAAACGGTTCAACACCTACCAACATGTGGCTTGAAAAAGATTGGATGAATAATATAAAGCTTCATCAAAGGGACTTTATATTTTGCCTCAACAGAGTACCATGTTTGATTAGGTAATCCAGCTCAATAATCTTTAACCTTTCTGCCCCTGCCTGTACTGGGTCCCCCAGAGAAATTCCATCGCTCAACTCTTTGGTGGTTTACCCTATCGGGCACATGCTCTAGATTTTGGAGGTTGCTACTATCATTTTCCGTCCTCAAATAATCCCACTGAATTCGGGCAATCAACAAGTCTTTGATTTACTGTCATCAGCACCTTGCTCTCATATAAACTGTTGACTATCTCTAGTGTTTCTTTCTCTCTAAATACCTTAAAAACTAAGGAGACATACTTCAAAGTAATCAGCCTCTCGTTGGGGACATAATACTGGTCATGGATCTCTTTTGGGGCTCCTATCGATTCTGATATCACCCATACCATCTTGAACGAGTTCCTAAAATAGCTCCAGACCTCTTCTTGTGGGGGTAATGCCAAAGAAGGGGTGCTTGCAGTTCCTCAGGACCCTCATACATGAAAGGCATATGTTTGGGGGCTTTCTATATACAATATTGGATCCAATTCATTGGGCAGGATTTTGTCCAAGGTGGCTTAGTAGTAGCCAAATTTCTGGTTGCAGGTCAGGACTGTGATAAACTAGATGTAAAACATTTTCTGCAATTTTGAGTTGGATTTATAAACAGGATTTTTTAGTGTTTAGAGTGTCAGACGTAGTTTAGGGAGCTTCAGTTTGAACTGTGAAGAAATGAGAGTCTCGCACGTCTGATAAACATGTAAGATTAAGTAGAGCTTTTAGGGCTGTTTTTAAACCATGTGAATTATAATTTTCCACACGAACTCAATGTAAGCGGTTACTTTTACTGTGATCTCCTTCACTGGTTTTCGTTGAAGTAATCACACAGAAGCCTGAGCTTTGGCCGTGGTTATCTTGCCTACTCCTAACCACTCTGTTAGGAGTAGTAGGCAAGATAACAAAAATTGTGACTCTGTCACCTTGTCAAGGTAACAAAAATTGTGACTCTGTCACCTCCTCCACTGTAACTACAGTGTATAAACAGTGAGATTGAAAGTCTAAAAAAAACCTCATTTTCTAGATTGGAAAATCAAAATTTGAATCACATAGGCGAAACTCTGTCTCTCAGAGTTTTGACTTCAGTTGCCTGAAAAATCATGATTTCTGAGTCATTTCTCAATCTCTCTTTGAGATATTTATTTCTTCAGTCTTTGCATTTGAGATCCCAGCTTTCCCAGCCAAAAGGCAAACCAGAATTGGCCTCTGTATTCCCCAAAAGATTTTCAAGAGTGCGCGACTCTGAGAATTCTTTGATGAGTGTTCCACTGAACCTAGTTTGATACTGAAGGAGTACTTGTCGGGAAGCGATTGTACCGCTTACTGGTGTCAAGAGCGTTCAACTCCTTGAAGACAGCAGGAGCATTCCCATTACTCTGGGTCTAGTCAAAATTGTTTCCAGAAACCTAGTTCTCCGCGACACTATTTTGCAGTTTTGCTGAGAAAGGTTGCTCCAGTGTTCAGTGTTGAAGCAAGATTTCTGTGAGTGAAGTTGGCTCCAAGTGATATTTCACCTCTGGTAGAGACTTCCTCCAACTTTTTGGGTTATGGCTAGCCGAGGTTCAAAAGGTGAATTCTGGCCGCTGTTTAGTGAATACGCTGTCTTGAACCAAGGGAACAGCTCCCTCAAGGCACTGGAGGGTTATAGAACACTCGTTTTGAGGATCATTGACAAATCATGAAAAGAAATTGTTGTCTGTATTTCACTGCAAGTTTTTCCCTCAATTCTGTCTCAGCTAAGCAGACTTCAACTCTGCTGTGGCCTCAGTTTCACTGGCATGTTACACACGTACACTGGCAGAGCAAGTCTCGGCAGTTTTACCTCAGTTTTTGGGCCAATCAAATTCTCGCTGCGGTTAAGAGAGAGCACGGCAATCTTTCACTGCATTTACTCTGTTTCCGGCGAATCTGACCTTTAAGAACTTAAGATTATTCTTTGGAAGAGTGAGTCTGTAAACTCGTGTTTAAGGTTTGAAGGACCTTGAAGCCAGCATTTGCAATTTCTTTATGCTAGGGCTTTTCTATCATGGATAAGTGGAGGTCTACTCAAGGTGGGTCATGGTTAGAAATACTTTTTAGATTACAAGAGGTTGGAAACCAATCAATACCGTTATAATAGTATACCTATACAAAATACAATAGGTGGCATGGAAGTGGACGTGGAATTAGTGAAACTTGGGGTGAACAATGTATCCGAAGCTACCGCTTTGGAGGTTGCTGCTCACATGCTTTGATTGTCAATAAATGCTTGTGAAGGATAAGACAGGACAAGCATCCTTGTTAGGCTAAATAGGGAAACAAAATGAAGGGTCAGGAGGAGGAAGTGGCATACATTATGTTTGCATTTCAATTAACCATATTTTGCATTGTATTTGAAATAGGCAATGGCACAGCTGACATAAAACTCATAGTGGAAGCAGTCATGGCAACTACACACTTTCTAATAGAATGCACAATAATCTGTATATGTTGCCCTCAGTGGGCTTCTTTTTTTGTCAAAATGACCCTAGAGGGGAGTTATGATATCTGGGATGTTGAAGCCGATAATGTGTCCAAATACTCAAAACCTTTATGTGGTAAAGATTTCCTATGTTAATAGATGAGAATTTTCCATCACTTGCAATGTTGTGAAGATAATTGCTAATGTATGCATCACATGTGACCTCCCCTCTCTCTCTCTCTCTCTCTCTCTCTCTCTCTC